ATTGTTGTTTGGCGGGTCCGGGCTGGGGATTCGAACCAGCCACCTTAGGTGTACGTGGCTGGCGCCTTAGCCGGTTGAGCTATAGGCACCGAGCCTATTCCTTTTTCTTATGAGACTCTGTCTCACTATGTTGCCCTGGGTAGAGTGCTATGGCGTCACAGCTCACAGCAACCTCAAACTCTTGGGCTTAAGCAATTCTCTTGCCTCAGCCTCCCAAATAGCTACAGGACTACAGGGACTACAGGCGCCTGCCACAATGCCCACCTATTTTTTTATTGTAGTTGTCATTGTTGTTTGGCAGTCCTGGGCTGGGTTAAAACCTGCCAGCTCTAGTGTATGTGGCTGGCACCCTAGCTGCTGAGCTACAGATGACAAGCCCATATTTTCTATTCCTTTATTATGTGCCACATCAAATTATTGTACATATAAGTTTTGGCTCTCAGAGTTTAAAAATGGGAGAAAGACACCTTGTTTGAAGATGTTTTCTCCCTTCTAGTAGTTGCTAGGGACATAGTAATAGGATCTATATATTTGAATACAGGGTGGCCATAAAGTTCATGTGCAATTTTAAATTGTACACTATTTTATTTTTATTTATGTTTATTTTTATTTTTTTGAGACAGAGCCTCAAGTTGTTCCCCTGGGTTGAGTGCCGTGGCATCACAGCTTAAAGCAATCTCCAACTCCTGGGCTCAAGCGAGTGTCCTGCCTCAGACTCCCAAGTAGCTGGGACCACAGGCGCCCACCACAACGCCCAGCTATTTTTTGGTTGCAGCTGTCATTGTTGTTTGGAGGCCCAGGCTGGATTTAAACCTGCCACCTTAGGTGTATTTGGCTGGTGCCTTAGCCACTTGAGCCACAGGCGCCGAGCCTTGTACACTATTTTAAATTGTACATGAATATAACCAACCTATATATTGACTGGTTATGGTAGTGTGACATAAAAAGGAGTTTCTCATTTTCCTCTTGTTAAGATCACTTTTTTGTTTGTTTGTTTGTTTTGAGACAGAGTATTACTATGTTGCCCTTGGTAGAGTGCAGTGCTGTGGCATCACATCTCACAGCAACCTCAGACTCTTGGGCTTAAGCAATTCTCTTGCCTCAGCCTCACAAGTAGCTGGGACTACGGGAGCCTGCCACAACGCCTGGCTATTTTTTTGCTGTTGTTTAGTAGGCTTCGGCTGGGTTGAAACCCACCAGCCCTGGTGTATGTGGCTGGCACCCTAACCACTGAGCTATGGGTGCTGAGCCAAGATCACTTTTTTTAAAAAATTATTTTCTTGGTTGGGCATGGTGGTCCACATCTGTAATCCTAGCTCTTTGAAAGGCTGTGGTGGGAGGATTACTTGAGGCCAGGAGTTCAAGACCAGCGTAAGCACAATAGTGAGACCCCGTTACCACAAAAATAGAAAAAAAACACCTGGGCTTAGTTGTGTGCACTTGTAGTCTCAGCAACTGGGAGGTTGAGCCAAGGTGATCACTTGAATCCAGGGGGTTGAGGTTGTGATGCCTGACTCAAAAAAAAAAAAAAAAAAAAGAAAGAAAGAAAGAAAAGAAAAAGTGAGAGAAACTGGTTTTCTTTCCATCTCACCTCAGTCAGTATTTTCTACTAAAGGTATGAAATATCTACTCCATAGGCATCATTTTTCTCTCAATAATGAGAAAAGCTAACCTCCAGATTTCTTACTGGACACCAAAGGGAAAAAAACCAGTAATTTTTCTTTGGACCCTAATAAAATCTTAGAAGTTGTTGAGCATCATTAGTGAAAAAATGTATTATGAGAAGATTAATCTGGCAGCTTTCATTTATTCAGTAACATATTAACATTGTCCTAGACACTGGATGCAACAATGTTAAAAAACAAAAAGGAGTGAATATCAATCACTGCTGTTATGGAGCTTTCAGTGTTGTGAATACCAGTGTAGGATGGACTGGAGTCTTTAAAGACTTGAGGCAGGAAAACAGTGGTTATGATCTAATCAGTCATCCTCAGTTCCGTATGTTCTTGGCATTTAGCTTTGCATCTTGATGCCCTGCCTTTTATCTGTTTCCTGTCTTACCATTTCCCTATCACAAACACATATACCTTTCCCTATTAGCTTTCTTCATTCTTTGTGTTACCTTTATGTTTTATTCATATTGCTTGGCCATATTTTGAAGATGTTAGAACCATGTACTTTCTCCTATCCTTCCCCCCATTAAAAAAATTTTTTTTGGAGGGGACAGAGTCTCATTCTGTTTCCCTGGGTAGAGTGTCATGGCATTATAGCTCACAGCAACCTCAAACTCCGGGGCTTGAGCAATCTTCTAGTTTTTTGAATTTTAGTAGAGATGAAGTCTCCCTCTTGCTCAGACTGGTCTCAAACTCCTGAGTTCAGGCAATCCACCCACCTTGGCCTCTCAGAATGCGATGGTTACAGACATGAGCCACCATACCTGACCCTAGTTAAAATTTTGAATTTCTTCTATAGCAGTTTTCTTTCTCCTTGCAAAAGAAAAAAAGAGACATCTTCTTTCTTGATATTTTTCAGACTGGGAGACTTGGTGTGAAATCAAGGAATCATTTCCAAAATGGTTCATTGATGAAGAAGAAATATCACAGGGAATGGTAATGGAAAGAGTAAGAAGTCATAGTCATGAATTCTCCAGTTTCAGAGAAGTCTGGAAATATGAGGATGAATTTGAGCAGCATCAGAGAAATCAAGAGAGGCAAGTGGCAATTGTGAAGGAAATCTCAACTGAGAAAAGAGACAATGAATATAATAATTCCAGGAGAAGTATCACCCTGAAGTCAGTACTTTTAACACAACAGAAAGTTCCCACCATAGAGCAAGTACATAATTTTGATATTTATGATAAAATCTTCCCCCCAAATTCAGTCATAATTGAATATAGAAGACTCCATCCTGAGAAGGAATCTTTGATAGGTAATGATTGTGATGAATTCAACCAGTGTACATATTTTAGTAAAGATATAGGCATTCCTCCTGGTCAAAAGCCTTATGGAGGTAATGATTTTTCAAATCTCTTAAGTTTCCACTCATTACTTACTCAACATCAGAACACTCATTTTGGAAAATTACCTCATAGATATGATGAATGTCATGATGCCTTTAGCTGTTACTCATTCTTTACTCAACCTCAGAGAATTCACAGTGGAGAGAAACTTTATGCATGCAATGACTGTGGGAAAGCCTTTAGCCATGACTTCTTTCTTAGTGAACATCAGAGAACTCATACCGGAGAGAAACCATATGAATGTAAGGAATGTAACAAAGCCTTCAGACAGAGTGCACACCTTGCTCAACATCAGAGGATCCACACTGGAGAGAAACCCTTTGCATGTAATGAATGTGGGAAGGCCTTTAGCCGTTATGCCTTTCTTGTTGAACATCAGAGAATTCACACAGGGGAGAAACCGTATGAATGTAAGGAATGTAACAAAGCCTTCAGACAGAGTGCACACCTTAATCAACATCAGAGGATTCACACTGGAGAGAAACCCTATGAATGTAATCAATGTGGAAAAGCCTTCAGCAGACGCATAGCCCTTACCCTCCATCAAAGAATTCACACAGGAGAGAAACCATTCAAATGTAGTGAATGTGGGAAAACCTTTGGCTATCGCTCACACCTAAATCAACATCAGAGAATTCATACTGGAGAAAAGCCCTACGAGTGCATCAAATGTGGAAAGTATTTTAGGACTGATTCACAACTTAATCGGCACCATAGAATTCATACTGGAGAGAGACCATTTGAATGCAGTAAATGCGGGAAAGCCTTTAGTGATGCTTTAGTTCTAATTCACCATAAAAGAAGTCATGCAGGAGAGAAACCCTTTGAATGTAATAAATGTGGGAAGGCCTTCAGTTGTGGCTCATACCTTAATCAGCATCAGAGAATTCATACTGGAGAGAAACCCTATGAATGTAATGAATGTGGGAAAGCTTTCCATCAGATTTTGTCCCTTAGGCTACACCAGAGAATTCATGCTGGAGAAAAACCTTATAAATGTAATGAATGTGGGAGTAATTTTAGCTGTGCCTCAGCCCTTAGACGACATCAGAGAATTCATAATAGAGAAACCCTCTGATTATAACAAGTGTATGGAAGAAAACATTTAGTCACCAAGTCCTTATTTAATATCAGTGAGTTATTTTTGGTTAGTAATTCTATGAATGTAGTAATATGGAAAAGCTTTCAGGCCATAAGCATCCATTGTTTGAAATAGCCTGAGAATCAGACATATGTTTCTTATGATCTGTTCTATACCTGACTTACCCCACCTTTAATGCATATGATTCTGTTAATCAGGAAAAAAATGGGTTGGTCATAGGCTGGCTGATTATTTCCACCAATCTAGTGATTAATAAAGGATTAGCAAGCTTGGCACCCATAGCACAGTGTTTAGGGCACCAGCCACATGCAACTGAGGCTGGTGGGTTCCAGCCTGGCTCAGGCTAGCTAAACAGCAATGACAACTGCAACCAAAAAATAGGCAGGGGTTGTGGTGGGTGCCTGTAGTCCCAGCTACTTGGGAGGCTGAGGCAAGTGAATCGCTTAAGCCCAAGAGTTTGAGGTTGCTGTGAGCTGTGACATCACAGCACTCCACTGAGGGTGACATAGTGAGACTCTGTCTCAAAAAAAAAAAACTGAATTAGCAAAGGGCCCTTTGTGTCTGGATCAATAGAGCCCTTTGGCAGTTATAGGTAGAAGGAGAGAAGGTTTTTTTTTCCTGGAATTGCAAATTGCAGGGGTTTGAGATTAAAAACTCACTAGTAGCCTTTTTGATACTCCATGAGGAAAGCCTTCCCAAACAGAGGAAAATGGAAATACGAGACAGAAATCCAATGACATTGTTTAATCTCCTGGATCCAATCATGTCTGATGTCTACACCATCCTTTACTTTTTAATTTTTGTGATCTAATAAATTTCCTTTTTTTAATTGCTTAAGTTAATTTGAATTAGATTTTTGTCTCTTGGAATTAGACTGATTTACACATCCTGTATTTGCTATACACGTGAGAAAAACTTAATCTTTTATGTGGCATAATTATTTATCCCAAAGCAAAATCTAGTGATATAACAAGTATATGACAATTGAATATACAGCCTTCATAAAGCTGAGATAATTGATAAATTTTACTTAATGATAAAATTAATTTAGCATCTGGGTGACACCCGTGGCTCAGTGGGTAGGACACTGGCCCCATATACAGAGGGTGGTGGGTTTGAACCCAACCCCCACCAGCTAAAACAGCAGTGGCAACTGCAAAAAATAGCTGGGCGTTGTGGCGGGTACCTGTAATCCCAGCTTCTCAGGAGGGTGATGCAAGAGAATCGCTTAAGCCTAAGAGTTTGAGGTTGCTGTGAGCTGTGATGTCACAGCACTCTACCAAGGGTGATAGAGTGAGACTCTGTCTCAAAAAAAAAATTAATTTAGTATTTATTAGTCTTTTCACAGTAAGGATGAATATTTTAAAATTCACCTAAATTCCTTAATGGCTTTCCCTTAAGGAGTTAAAATCATTTACAGCAGATGACTTACCTGCATGGGCCTATAAGGAGAGAAAAAATTAGGGTGGTGATGTGGCTCAAAGGAGTAGGGTGCTGGCCCCATATACCAGAGGTGGTGGGTTCAAACCCAGCCCTGGCCAAAAACTGCAAAAAAAAAAAAAGAGAGAGAGAGAGAGAAATAAAATTAAAAGCTAAGAGAATAATGGATTAATCAGTTTAATGAATGTCTGTTTATCTTAAAGCAATTGTTTGTTTGATTTTCTTCTTCCAGTATAGGTTAAAACTGAAGATGGGTTAAAACTTCCATTGCATGGAAGAATATAATAACATAGAATTATGAATGAGGTCTTTTGTGGGTGAGATATAAACTTAGTTTAAGAAGTTTATGGATAACTTTTTTGAAACTAGAGATATCAGACAAAGACATTGCTGGCATACATACAGAAAGAATGTAGTATGTAGTACTACATGTAGTACTTTTACTCTTAGTCAAGTGATTTTTTACTAAGAGTAAAAGTAAAACAGTTGATGCCTAAAATTTTTAGAGAATAAATAATTACCATTCTTTAGAGTAATGAGGAAACGAGGGTGTGGAAATTTGGCCATTTTGAACAGTTAGAACTAGTTAGAATCTTGGGCATTGTCTGAATAGCATCCATTGTCTATGGCCCTACCCCCCTGAACACTCCTGATCTCATCTGAACAGCATCTATCTATAAAAAAAAAAAATCAGAACAAATGACTTAGGAATGACTCCATTTGCATGGAGTGAAAAAATGACTAATACTTTGATAATTTAGTTGTCAATTTATACTTACATTTAAAAAAATATGAAAATTATTTTTAAAATACTAAGACAGATTGCCTTTAAATAATGTAAACTACAGATTTAGTATGACTCACAAACCTTGAACAGAAACAAACATGATTATAAAACATTGTCAAACTTATATTACATCCAATCTAAAATATATTCATGTTATAAGCTTAATCATCATTTCTTTTTTAAAAATATTTCCTGTAGGTACAGAAATGCTTATTTAACAATTTCTAGACATTGAGTAATAACTTATTTTGGAAAGTTTCCCAAGGTTACTACCTATAGTAATCTTAACAGACTTGAAGAAGAAAAATAACACAGATCAAATAACTCAGAGTCTGAATTATTTACTAATTGATTTTTGATCTAAGTTTGGTATCTGATTTCTTCCTCAAAAGTAATGTAAACCCAAGCCACTGGTTGACCTTTGCTTTTACTGTTAAACTTCACTTGTGATATTGACAAAATCCTTTATGCCCATGTCTTTAGCACAGGTGTTCGTATTTTGCAATTGATGTTTCTCCTCACAATGAGGTACTAGATTTTATCTGCAATCATACACCCCAGTGTGTTGTGATATACTGACTTATCTTTTACATTATTGAAAATTTATGCTTTATTATATGATTATGCTTTAGTATATGACTGCAATTAGGACCTTCTAGAGATTTGTATTTATGTGTGTGCAGATATGTGTGTCTGCAGATGATGTGTATTTCGTTTAAAGTTTTATGTTTAGTGCCCACTGTGTGCCAAGATTTCTTCTAATCTAGGCAATGGAGATACAGTAGTGAATCAGAGGATATAGTCCGTGCCTTCATAAAGCCAATTTCTTACGAGAAAGACAAACAATAAGAAGGTATGTAAGTAAAATATATAACCTATACCAGAGTAAATTCTAAGGAGAAAAGATGAAAGAAGGGATGGTGGACCTGGGAAGTCCTCTTTTGAAATTGGCTTTTAAGTAAAGATCTGAGAGAGATAAGAGATCTCTCGATGTGTGCATTCATACTTCATATATACACACATATATTCACATTATATACCTTACATATCTAGGGGAAAGGAAATCTATATGGATATTACATATTTACATTTTATACTTAACTAAATCCATTCTTGTGTTTTATTATGGCTGTGTATTTATGTATTACATTTTAACATTTTTCTTATGAGTCAGATGAATTTATGGCCTTTCACAATCTTTTTTTTTTAAGTTTTTATTTTTCATTGCTCTTATGAAATTAAAGGTTTTTTTTTTTTTTTTTTTTTTTCAGTTTTTGGGCAGGGCTGGGTTTGAACCCACCACCTCTGGTATATGGGGCCAGTGCCCTACTCCTTTGAGCCATAGGCACCGCCCCCAGTGCATGTAATTTTGATGCTAAATTATCAGAACTTGGACACTAGGAGTCACTTTAGACATAACTTTTTACTCCCTTCAGCACTTCCCTAACATCTTCCCAGGCATCTTTACTTTCTGGCAATAACAAGATGTTCCAAACCCATCCTCAGTGTTTCCTGCCCAAAGTCATGAAGTTAGCTATCTTCCAAAGAATTTAGGTAGAAAGTAAACAAGCACATTTTTTTATATTTGCAAGGGGATATCAAATCAGATACAGGAGTTTCTATTGAAGTAATTTTTCTCATTAAAAGGTTTTGGTAGCCAGACCTGGGGGGCTAGGAATAAATCTAAAATAAAATTCTACTTTCTTTATATATGTTATTTTTTTGTTTGTTTTTTTTTTTTTTTTTTGAGACAGAGTCTCACTATGTCATCCTTGATAGACGACTGTGGTATCACAGCTCACAGCAACCTCAAAATTCTTGGGCATAAGTGACTCTCTTGCCCCAGCCTCCCAAGTAGCTGGGACTACAGGCGCCCACCACAACACCCGGCTATTTTGTTGTTGTCATTGTTGTTTAGCAGCAGGCCCGAGCCATGTTCGAAACCACCAGCCCTGGTGCATGTGGCTGGTGCCCTAACCATTGAGCTATGGGCTCTGAGCCTATATAGGTTATTTTCCTCCCCTCCCCTCCCTTTCCTCTTTTTTTTTTTTTTGACAGTCTCATTCAGTCGCCCTGGCATTGTAGCTTACAGCAGCCTGAAACTATTGGGTTTGAGCAATCCTCTTGCCTCAGCTTCCCAAGTAGCTGAGACTAGAGGTGTCTGGTTAGTTTTTCTATTTTTAATAGAATCTCATTCTTTTTTCAACAGAAAAATATTAAGTTCCTTAATAATGTGCAGTTTTTTTTTTTAAGTAGCTTTCTGTAAAGAACAGAGATAACTTTGTTTCTTTATCCTGACTTTTATTTTTTATATTTATTTATTTATTTATTTTTTGAGACAGGGCCTCAAGTTGTTGCCCTGGGTAGAGTGCTGTGACATCACAGCTCACAACAACCCCCAACTCTTGGGCTTGAGCGATTCTCTTGCCTCAGCCTCCGAAGTAGCTGGTACTACATGCCTGCCACAACGCCCATCTATTTTTTTGTTTCAGTTTGGCCAGGGCCAAGTTTGAACCCATATGGGCCAGGCACCCTACCCACTGAGCCACAGGTGCTGCCCTGAATCTTTCTTTTAAGGCATCACTTATCTTCATTAGTATAATCCTAAAATGTTGATAGTTCTGTAATACAGCATGTAGCTGGCACCTATTCTTGAGGCACATTCAAGTGTTTTGACAAACAGTAATAAAATATCTGTATGCCACAAATGTGTTAACCCTTCAAGCTTTACTGAGTCTGATTTCACCTCTTTTGGTCTTCCTTTTATCTAAAAACTTCAATCTCCAGGAGATCCAAGTTCCCCTCCTTGTTTTGTTTGTGTTGTTTTTAGTTCTAGCCTTTTGTGAAGTAGAGTTCTCTTTGATGCTATTCTTTCTGCAGATGAGGAGGGAAGGATGATACCATGCCTAAAACCATGGCTGATGACTGAAAGCTAACAGGATGGATGGATGCTGTTGGTGGCATGTTAGGAAGCAAAATTAGACTCTGAAATTCTTATGTCTTCTTTGTATATCTTCTAGTCTTTTCTGAAGCCTTGTATATTCTTCAAATAGA